GTGAGCCTGGGGAAAGGGAGACAGCATAACCACTGTGTCAGTCTCTTGCAGTGGTTTGCAAACTTGAGTATGCATCTGAATCCCTGGAGGCTTTTAAAAGCACAGATCCCTGGACCCCATCCCCAGAGAGTTTGAGTCTGCAGATTTGGGGTGAGAGGGCAAGGAATTTACATTTTTTTTTTACAGATTTCCTAGTGATGTTGATGCAGCTGGTCCTGGGACCGCACTTTCAGAACCACTTCTTTAGAGTTTGGATTTTATCCTATAGTCAATTGAGAGTACCTGAAATTTGTGTAGCTTAAGAAAGAAAGAAACAGATTTGGATTTAGAAAGTTTACTGGCAGCTGTGAGGAGAATGAGTGAGGGAAACCAGTTGGTAGATTATTTCACATGTCCAAGAGACAAAGTAAATGAGCCTCAACCCATTTATGGAAAGATGAAATACACTTGAGAACATCCAGAGGCATAATCAAGATTACTTGGAATGATTGAATATGGGGAATGAGAAAACGGAAGGAATCTCAGAATGTTAAGATTATGTTCCATAATGTAACCGAAATACTATAAAATTTATGTATTCAAAGAATCTCATGTTACCAAAATCTTTAAAATGAGGTCTAACAAATCATACAAAATTTCAGATGACTTTTTTGCCAGTGTCATGTGTCCTTTTTCATAGCTAAAGAGAGAGAGAAGCCTTGGTCACAGTCATTCAGCAGTCACTCCTCAAAATGTGTGACATGAAGTCCACTCAGGTATGGTCAGGCCTTCCTAAGGCAGCATCATCTAGGGGTGCTGTTTACCCACTGTGTACACTCAGAACATCAGAACTTTGGCTACAAGGATCAGTTATGGTCTTTCCAGCCTCGATATACTCTTAATAACTATAGGAGGGTCCCCCCATACATAGGACTTTGTAGATACAACATGAGGAATGAATTGCAGCTGGCTGAAAACATAAAATAGAGAAGTATAGATGAGTAACTTGATCCTCAATTGAACCCATAATAACATTCAGCGAAGTTTTGATTTTAGCTTCAAGTTTCTCTTTGCAACTGAGTCCTTAGCCAAGTGTGCCTAAGGAACCATCTCTGTTCTGTTCTCTCTTTGTTGTTGTTCTTAAGGTGCCAGGTTCTGCTGACCCTTTTCTTGTGTTTTGTGCTGTTCTTTCCTCTTACAAGGCTGTTGAAATGGTCAGTTCCTTATACAAACCCTTTTTTATCTTTTTGCAGTTTCCGAATGTTTCCATCACTGTAATCTCTGCCAATGGCATTTCTAAGGAGGTTGCTTTGTTCAGTTCTCATTGCCAAATACTTATAACCCATTAGCTTCTCTTTGTTTTTTGCAGCCCATTAACCCAATATGTCTTTTGCATTGGACTCCAGCCTCTCTGTTCTACCCCTTGCTAGTATTGAGATAGGAATGGAGTGAGGGAGGAAAGTATGGAGTAGAGTGGGAGTAAGGTGTCCTATTTTGCTCCTTTTGAACTAGAAGAATAACTTTCAGATGGGGTGTAAACTGAAAACAAATCTCTCCCTTGGACAGAAATGTTACCCTTTCTTTAACAACATTAAACATAATCTTTGGCTGTAGCCTTTCAGGAACTTTTCTGATTGACTATTTTATGCTCACAAATCATGTGGGGAAACAAAAAAAGCTTTATAGTCATTGTTGAGATTAGAGGGGTTCATATGTTACTCCTTCTTCTCACCTCCTAAATTCTGAACTGAGAGAGACACATGAGTCAGGAAAAGGAAGACCAAAACTTTATTACTGATAGGGTTGATGGGGAATCTGTCTTAGAGTGAAAGCCAAGTAATGACAAACTACTGCCAGTCTAGTCCTCGGACAGCCCACTAGAGGGAAAGTTGTAATCTGTATCGAGGACACATTAACCTAAGCTATCAGCTGTCACCCTCCTCCCAGGTAATTCCTCCCACCACCACGTGGAAGAGCAAAGGGATGGAGGGCAAAAAGTCCAGATAAACACTCTTTCGTGGAAACCAGGGGATGAATTACTCAAGACAGATATATTTTCTAATAAAGTTTTAGTGGTAGTTCTAGGAAAATACTAATGACTAACCACATAGTGTGTAACAACTGACTTCTGAACAGTGTCAAAATCATCTCTTCTTTTAAGATAATTAATGTCAAAGATATTAGGAATTTTAAAAAATCAGGAAAGTTAATGTTTATTTTCCAGTCTACAAATGAAGATGACAAATGGCGTAATTAGATGCATAACTTGTAATAATTCCACCAATGATCTGTTTAATTTAAAAATAGATGATTTGGAGAGTTAAAGTTTTGTTTTTGTTTTTTTAAGTTGTCACATGCTGCTAGTTATTGCCACTCCATTTCTCCACCTTCCACCAGTGCTAAAAGTTCTATCTGGGTATGTGACCACCCCGCTAAAGAAGCTATTGCCCAGTCTCCCTTGCAGATAGAAGTAGCCAAGTAACTAAGTTCTCAGCAATAGAATGGCAGAGTAGAACTGATGCGTGCAACTCCAGTCTCATTTGCTTAAAGGAAATGCCTTGCTCTCCACTTTCTTTCCCCTTCCTGGGTTAAGATACTGAGATAACAGAGATCAGTGGCATCAGGGACTCTTAATGACCTAATCTACCAGAGCCTTTCTACCAGCCTGGACTGGCCAGACTGTAAGATGAGAGAGAAATAAACTTCTGCCTTTTTTAGGCCACTCTGTTTTTTTGAGTCTCTTTTTAATGTCAGGTTAACATTTGTACCAACTAATACAAATATTTATGCCTATTTATGGAACTGTTAAACTATTCAGTAGGAAGAAATCTGCACAATTAGCTATTGTAGTGGGTTGAATAGAGACCCCCAAAAGGTAGGTCTATCCAGAACCTGTGAATGTGGGCTTGTTTGGAGAAAAGGATGTTTGAAGATGTAATGGACAGCACATGTCCTTATAAGAGACAGAGAGGAAAATACAGAGAGGAGAGGGAGGCAATATGAAGAGAGGGAGGGATTCAAGGGATGCATCTGTAAGCCAGAGAACTCCTAGAGCTGCCAGAAGCTGGAAAAGGCAAGGAAGGATTCTCCCCTTTCACAGGGATGACCCAGTCTACACCTGTGAAGGAATAAATTTATCTTGTTTTTAAGCCACCCAGTTTGTGGTGGTTTGTTGCAGCAGCCCTAGGAAACTAACACAGCTATCTAATAAAATTTGATAAATGACGATGAAGAATGACATAGAGAAATTAAAAAATCATTTCTTGTTTTGTTATGAAATACTGAAAGGAGCATAGAGCTCTAATATGAAAGTGGTTCGTTCACTAATTTGTAAGACACCTTGGGGCACCTGGGTGGCTCACTTGGTTAAGCATCCAGCTCTTGATCTCAGCTCAGGTCTTGATCTCAGGGTCCTGAGTTCTTGCCCCATGTTGCTCCACACTGGGCATGGAGCCTACTTAAAAAAAAAAAATTAGGGGCACCTGGGTGGCTCAGTCCAGTAAGCATCTGCCTTTGGCTAAGGTCATGATCCCAGAGTCCTAGGATTGAGGCCCAAATTGGGCTCCCCACTCAGCGGGGAGTCTGCTTCTCCTTCTGCCCCTCTCCCCTCTCATGCTCTCTCTCCCACTCTGTCTCTCTCTCTCAAATAAATAAAATCTTAAAAAAAAAAAGACACCTGGCTGATTGCCTGAGGCATATCAGCCACTGACAGGTGCAGTGTATATAAAAATAAGAGAGACATGGTCCCAACTTTCAAGAGGCTCATAGTCTTCTTGGAAAGGACATAATGAACATGGACAACACTGTTTGATTCATTTAAAAAAAAGCTAAAAGGAAAAAAACTTTATGTCACAGTTTTAGACTACAATTGGCAATGAGAACACCTCCCATAGAATTGTTGGACAAATAAGTTTGACCATCTAAGAAAATCAGATATTCAATTTGTTGTACAACGATCATTCTATCTGGGAAATATGACAAAAACTGTAATAAAAATGGTTCTCTGTATTTCTAAAGCTATCACTTTATAAAAGTTAAGATTATGGACCTGGGCTCCTGTTTTTGTATCTTTATTACAAGTAAGTTGATGAAATAACACAACCTTCTAACCAGTGAACATCTCCAATTTAGAATGTTTTTTAAAAATCTATTTATTTATTTATTTATTTAGTAGGCTCCACACCCAGCATGGAGCCCAACATGGGGCCCAAACTCGACCCTGAGATTGAGACCTGAGCCAGGATCAAGAGTCAGATGCTCAAATGACTGAGCCACCAAGGCGCCCCTAAAAACTTAATAAGGAAAATTCTTCTAGAGTAAAGAGAATTGTTCATAATTCCTCCTCACATCCCCAGTTTATGAAATAAACTTTTTTGTATTTGGCAACCCCATAAATCAGGGATTTATTTCAAAATTATGTCCAAAACAACAAAAATTGCTCTTATGATCACATAGAACGAATGCATTGAGTATTATTCCTTGGACTGCATTTAGACTTTGGTATGAGCAATGCAAGATTCTCCCCTACATAGATAAACTACTAAACAATATGGAATCTATTGTCCAAGTCACCTCTAAATTTTATTTTGGAACCAAAGATCCCTGCTAGATCCTTTTATTGGGAAGGACCTCTCCCCTTAATTACTCCCACTGTCTTCAGCATGATATAGGTAATGTGAAAATCTGATTCTACACTTTCCCCTAGTATTTTAATGTTTCATGTCATTCTTTTTATTTTGATTCACTTCTTATTTTTCACTCAATGCTGAAATTGTATGATACTTCCTTTTATACTAGGCAGTCTTATCTTGGACCCACAAAATGAAGATTTGCTGTATAGGAAACATGTACTGAAAATAAGTATGCATAAAAATACTGGAAGGAAATACACCAAAATGCTCTCCTTTGGGTGTTGGATTTGATTTGTGAAAGAGTTTTTGAAATCTCCTTAGTGCTTTCTATCCTAACCTTCTATAATAAATATTTAATTGATTTTGATATTTGTTTATTTGCAATTTAAGGTATCACCTTTATTCTACATATGGACATAGGTAGGAGGAGACTGCAGTGGGGTCTGTATCACTCATGCTCAAGTGAACACATCTGGGCCCAAAGTTGTCTTCCAGGATCAGATGGAGAAGCTGGAGTATCCCTTCTGAGGAATTCCTTCTAAGGAATCTCTACCTCAGCATGCTTGCAGGGCAAAAGTAGTGCTGAGCTCTTCTCACCAAGCCACAAGGCATGCAGGTAAAAAGAAACCAACCTTCTAAACATTTTACTCAATCCAAATTCATTTTAAGTAAGAAATATTTACAATGATATTGAGAAACTATAGTCCCAAAGGAAAACAAAAACAAATGACATCACTGACATATTCAAGTTTATCTTAAGTTTTAAAAAGGGTAATGAAGTTACATTTTCATTTAAATACCTAGGTATTTACTATAATCTTAGAATGGTATTTACTATATTTACTATAGGTATTTACTAGGTATTTACTATAGGTATTTACTATAATCTTAGAATGCCATATGGTGGTTACGAATTTATTAGGTAGAGACTTGGAATGTATGTGTATATTTGTAGATGCCTAGAATTTTCATGAATTGTCTTTTTTTGCCACTAAATTCTATATACAGCTTATCTCAGTAGTATTGGTTTTTGATAGTATATAATGTTTGATAAACCAATAGCTTTTGAGAGAGGGGCCAGGAAGACTTTTTTATTTTAAACGCCTACTCAGGTAAAGGGCAGACAACAGAATCAGTTTTGTGTTGATGTTGCTATTTCTTCACTCTGAATAAGATTTTTGTTGGACTCACAGCCATTTTGCTTCCTGGGGTGAATCTTCTTTCATATTGTTTTATCCAAGTTTTCATATGGATGTTTTCAAATAAAATATATAAGTGGAAAAATATGAAACCAGTAATGTTGCTTTCCAAGTGTTCGGTGTCAACCTCAAAACACAAAAAAGAGAAAACCAAATGGGACAACGAATAAAGTTGTCTTCTTTTTTTTTTTTAAGATTTTACTAATTTATTTGAGAGACAGCATGAGCAGGGGGAGGGGCAGAGGGAGAGGGAGAAGCAGACTCCCTGCTGATACCAGCCTCCATCCCAGGACCCTGAGATCATGACCTGAACTGACGTCAGATGGTTAACTAACTGAGCCACCCAGGTGCCCCAAGTTGTCCTCTGTTTTTAAGACTTAAAACATTCACTTATAAAAACACTGATATTCTCAGACAAATGGAAAAATGTTCCCCCTGGTGAAACAGTACTTGCTATTATAGGATATATAGTTAAATCAAATGAGAAATAAGGGCAAGCATAGACAAATACTAAAGAAAAACTTCATTGTGCAAATGTTCTCAGAAATAAACTTGGAAAAACATACCTCCTGAGTATAAATATTTCAGCTGAGTTTATGGAAAGGTGTTATCTGTTGAAGTCAGCAGAAATCATGCCTTCATACAATTCTGGCTAGAATATGGTTTTTTAATGATTGCTAAAGTCTCATAGAAAGGTCTGTATAATTTCTTGTTTTAATTCCTTGAAGCAGGAGTTCTTGTTTCCATGTTTAGCTTTTATGCAAATTAATATTTTAAAATACCAATTTCCTAAAAACGAGGGCATGATCATTATTTCAGTTGTAAACAATCAGTTACACTCTTTCCTTTGCAGACCTGCCTTGCAAATATTATGTGAGCGTTTACATGTTAGCAGAACACCAGCTAGCCTCATGTCATGTTTTGGTAATGTCTGTACAGATATTTCATCTGTGGGAGATATTTCATCTGTCCGTCATGGATCAACCCACTAGTAAACCATGCTTATTTTAAGTCTTCTGTTTTTAGCCTAATGATTTATCTAACTGACTTTTGGGGTCTGTTAAAGAACAAAAATAATTTGGAATTGAAAACAATCCATATTGTCACAAATAGAGAGAATGTGTTATAAGGAATAGACTAAAGCAGTTTTAGCTCATCAGATTTGATGGAGGCCATCTGCTTTTGTTGCCTGCATCAATCCCCTTCTTTAGCTTACTTATCTGCTGATTCTGCCATAGAGCCTCAGCTCTATGCAAGACCAGCCCTGATCATGCCTTAAAACAGTATGAATCAAGCTGGCATTTTTTTTTTCCAGAGTTGTTCAGCAAACATAAGAATATACCAGTCAGAACACAGAGGAGAAATATAGCCTGGAGATGTAAATTTAGAAGGCACCAGCATTTTAATGGTTAGGAAAGCCTTGGAAGTGGGTGCAATCATCTAGGAAAAGGGAGTAGAACAATCTTTATCAGTTGTCTAAAATCCTGAGTCAACACAACACCTTCCCCTCATCCAAATTGAGTATCAATAGCCTCAATATCCACATTGTTCCAGCTTTGGTTTTTGTGGTTTATATTATAAAACTAGTATCTCTGCACAATTTTCAAATTACTATAAATTTAATATGCACTTCCAGGTTATACATGCAAAACCCCTGATGAATAAGGAGAGCAGCTAGATGAGCATAGTAACTCAACTAAGGGAATGGCCATGGCTCCTATCCACCTCCCAGCCTTGCTATCAACAGCAAATGAAACCATTTGGCTTGAGATCTTTGAGACTCGGTATACACAAGTCAGAACTTACAGGATGCTCTTAAAGCAGCAGATAATATCTGTTTCTAAACATATGTGCAATGGGAAGTCTTGAGCATTTGCTTTTGGAAACTCTAGCATGGCATAGTATGGTGATTAGTAGTTCTGTTCATCGCACAATTTTAACCATGTGGCTGCCATGTGACTCACAGTAGACACGATTTTATTACCAGTATTCAAATCATTTATGTTTCTCTTAATGTTTGATAGCTCTCAAACTCCAAACCTGGCAAAGCAGATGAACAGGTGCGGGTCGTAGCATGGGTAGCCTTTGTTCAGTGTGGGCGGTCTTGGGTTCACTGTCAAGATTTTGTGGAACTCCGTGGCTGGTTTGTAAGTGTTTTATTACTCTCTATACCCTCTTGTTGGGGCCTTTACTGACACTAGTACCAGTAAAATGTACTATGCAAACAAAAATAGCATTTTTACTTTTAAATCAATTTTTCATGCTTACATTGTTGAGAAATTTGAGTCCGTTCAGGGTACTATTTAATGATGTTTTGCCAGAAAATACCAAGGAGGTCCCTGAGATTGCCTCAAATAATTATATCCTCCCCAATGCTTCTGAGAGGTATATTCTCATAAAGCAAAATTCAAGGGCAAAAATAACCATACAACAACAGTAAAAAGAAGTTATTATTGGGGAATTTGGCTTGAAGCCACAGTACAAAGCTCTAGTAAACTGGTCTGTACACATGGAAGGTTTCTTTTTCTTGAGCTTGTTTGGCCTAAATAGCCTCAAGCTACGGCAGGCTCTTAGGATTGCTCTCTCTTACTTGTTAGCTTCAAAGGCAGCTGTTAAGACTCCAGTGAGCACAATGTGAATTGTGCAGGACTGTTGAATCTCAGATCTGTACCTCTGAAACAAATAATGCAATATATGTTAAGAAAAAAAAAAGAAGAAGAAGAAGGTAGCGGGAGGGGAAGAATGAAGCGGGGGAAATCGGAGGGGTAGATGAACCATGAGAGACGATAGACTCTGAAAAACAAACAGGGTTCTAGAGGGGAGGAGGGTGGGAGGATGGGTTAGCCTGGTGGTGGGTATTGAGGAGGGCACATTCTGCATGGAGCATTGGGTGTTGTGCACAAACAATGAATCATGGAACACTTCATCTAAAACTAATGATGTAATGTATGGGGATTAACATAAGAATAAAAAAAAAAAATCTTAAAAAAAAAAAAAGACTCCAGTGAGCACTAATGGAAATGGAGAGAAAGCTAAAGAGGACCCTGTCAGCTCTCCTGTGTGTTGCTGAAGTAAACTTTTCCTTGTACCCCAAACTTAGGGAGAGGATAACCTTTCTGTGTCTCCCACACTCCCCTGCCTTGTCCTACCAGCAAGCCAAATGGAAGAAACAGAGAGGCCTGCATAACCTATAGCCCCTTGGAAAGCTTTGACTCTTGAAAAAAGCAGATTAATCAGTATCCTCTGATCTCACTAATGCAATCAACCCTCCTCCCTCCTCAATCCCTAGAGTGGCATGAAGAATGTGAATATGGAATGGTATTCTATACCTAAGGAGCAACAAAAGTATCTCAAGTAACTGAGTACATTTCTTTTAAAAAGGCAATGTGTTGTTGCCTTCTTGTTTTCTGTTAGATAGCTCTTTGATAAAAAGGGGCTCTTTTTGGATCCCCAAGTTCAGGAAAAATAAATCAGCCATCTTCTGATTCCTTGGGGACCAGTGTGTAGACACACACACACACACACTCTCTTTACAATAAGTCTCTGGCATTAACCCAGAGCCCTAGTGAGCAAGGCTGAGTCATAGAGTTCTATAAGGACTCTTTTTGTCCCGTTGGCCTACAGCCTAGATAAAAAGAAAGCAAAGAGGCCCCTTTGACTTCTCTGCCCTAGGCCTACACCCAAATTTTTGCTTTAAGAGTCTTGCTACTTTATTAATAGTAAGAAGGGAGGAAAGACAAGTTTAAAAAAAGGAGCACCAAAGGTAAAAGTCTTTTTCTTTTACAACTAGAACTGATCTTATCTGAGTTACCAAGTCCTAGACCACTCAACATTGGGATGTGTGTGTGTTGGGGGGCATCTTAGTACAAAAATCATGTAAAAGGACACACTCTGTGAGACAAAGAGCAGTGAAATTGATATACCCACAGAACCCTGAAGATGCCAAAGTCAGAGCTATTTACTTACATGCAAATCTCTTTGAAGCCTTCAGCTAATGGCTGACTGGCTTTGCCTCTTCACTGTATCTTCCCTCAGCTTCCTCTCTTGAAATGCTCATCAAATTTTGTTATTCTTCAGCAGCCATCTTTTCTTCAATTGGAAGCTTCCCAAGGGCCAACACATGTTTGTCTTACTCTGTAGCACTTAGTAGGCACTCAGTAGACTTTTTTCCCCATTGAATGACATTTAATTGTGCCTTTGACTGTAACATTTATTCAGAGCAGCATTGAGGAGGATATTTCAGGTGAGGGTTTCTTCACCTCCCCCAAAGCTTAGAGTGTGTAGCCAACCTTAACTCTATAAGTATTATCATTTGCATAATTGATGATGTTGGGAAAATTAAAGCTCATACAAATATAGTTTTTGTTCATTACTAACCCTTCAGACTGGGTTTTTTTTTTTTTTTAAAGATTTTATT